TACTGTTTATACTAAATAAAAACTTAGTAACAATTTGTTTATCAAATAAAAACTTAGTAACAATGTTTATCAAATAAAAACTTCGTAACAATGTTTATCAAATAAAAACTTAGTAACAATTTGTTTATCAAATAAAAACTTAGTAACAATTTGTTTATCAAATAAAAACTTAGTAACAATTTGTTTATCAAATAAAAACTTAGTAACAATTTGTTTATCAAATAAAAACTTAGTAACAATTTGTTTATCAAATAAAAACTTAGTTTACAAATAACTCTTGCTTGTCTTCTAAAGTAGTTTATTAGAAAAATAAAATTATTTTAGTTGTAAACTTTGAAAACCGTTGACTTAAGGGTAGAGAAAATACATTTTGTAAAATAATTGAAAAATCTAAATGATCAATCTAAACAAGTGGATTCGCCTTGTTGAGGATCAAAGCTGGTGTCACTTGAGTTTCCCTAAGACTTGTTTTCAACAAAACATTATTAACATCTTCTTAATTCTAAAAATGATACAAATGACCATTATAATATTGTGTTCAAAATTTTATTTTTTAATATATCTTTTTTTTTCATGTACATTTCAATCCAGTCATTTATTTATTTTAGTTTTTTTATATTCAAAACCACAGTAATATCTTATTATGAAAGTTAAACATCACGGAAAATTTTACACTAAAATAATCCAATTACTAGGAACACTTCAATTTTCTAAATGTTGACCAACTCTAAAAATAAGTTTTAGAACTTTCATGCTATAATCATAAGAAAACATTTAACAGTTCTTTTGAGTTGAGTGAAATTTTAATGACTTATAAATGATAAGTATTTATTTTTTCAGAAACCTTACTTATTCAAACTGTGAATTTTTCACTTCTCATTATTTTTTTTTTCTCTTTGGCACTAAAAACTTTATTTCAGAGGAACTTTTCTAGATTTCATTTCAAAGAAATCACAGTAAGAACTATATACACATAAATCACTAGAACATTGCTGGAAGACTGACCACTCTCTAGTACTGTATTGAAAACACTAAACTATTCAACAATAGTTTACTAAAACTCCCAATACTTGACCAGAACACCGTTATTGTATCAACTATTCACTAATACGAGAACTGGGCCTGATAAGCAGTGCTTCAATGGAGCTGCATCTCAGAATCAGAACCCTTTCCCCATTCTATATACCAAGCAAGTATAAATAAAAATGTTTTCAAAAATATGTTGAGTGGTGCAGGAAATTCCTTATGATCAGCACAACATCAAATGACATAAAAATGACCATGAAAATACTGGTAATAAGGCAGTAAATTGTAAAATTTAACCATATTTTTCAAATTCACCTGTTACAGCAATTAAAAAAAAATTAAACATGTGAACTGTGATATACTGTGCTAAGTCTTACCATTACAAGCGTAGCTGTTGACAAGATGTAAAATCTAACTGAAAAGAAGAACCTAGGCCTTATAGAAATTAAGACAAATCTGATAATAGTAGGCCTACAAACATTGATTTGCCTGTGTACTGGTCTTTGGGTCAAATATTTGATTCTTGTGGAAAAAATTACTGGATCATTGTCAAAAATGGACAACTTAGTTGCAATATATTTTCTAAGATTCAAACATTCAGAGTAGATAAGTATATTGAAATGAAAATCTCTGTGTAGTTGGTGATAATTCAAATTTTTTGCTATGGGGATACAAAATCCATACATTAAATATTCTTTAGGGAAAAAACGTAAGGACATATAAGGCCTAAATAAAAATTTCATAATCTTCTAAAACTGAACTACTTGAGAACGTTAGTGCTAAAAGTATGGCATATCATGAAGAAACCACTGGTAAAGTATTCAGAAGTGCATATTATGTTGCAAAACAGAATTAGCTATCTCTCTAGCCCTTGTAAGTGAAAATGATTTGCAAAAGTTAAACAGCCTTGAAGTTGAACTGATACTTCCTATAAATGGTAATTCTGACCTTGAACTTTGAATCAAAGAATGTCTATTCATAAAACAAATGTCCCATGTTTTAAGTATAACACACTCCTCCTACCCACTTAATTTGTTTTAAAATAAACCACTTTAATTATAAAATGTTTATAAGAATATAGAAAAAAAAATAAAGGTATTTAATCTTATTTCTTCCACTTCATAGATACTGTTTGTAAATAGTCAACAATACTGTTGGTTAATTTTATTGTCGTTGTTCTCACTTAGAACATTATGTTAATCTTATATTCTCTAATGTGCCAAATTATCATTATTTTCTTTTGCCTCATGATAACCTAAGAAGAGTGTTGAAATGTTGCATGGCCATATTTCACAAGTTATAAACAATGAGGTACAACGTTTTTTTGTGATTACTGTATAATACATTTCAAAGAGTACAAATGCAAAATACATTTCCAACATAATCAAATCCAAATCAAAACATGCTATTTTAACTGAAAAGTCCACTACTTTAGTTTTCTACACACTTGTATTTCTGATTCACACAGAAATGAAAGATTCTGTAAACCTTTTCCCGACAGCCTCTACTGTTTGAGAAAACTACTCAGCTTTGTATAACTATTTTACAGATACATCCCAAAGGTAATCCAAGGACAGGAGTTTGTACAAAGGCCTAAATAATCAAATTACCACTGTTCATTTAGTGTGAAATTTTATACTAATGTGTGATGCTCTTCAGAAACTATTAGAATTGTCTTGAACTACAGTAATTTTAATATCTAAGATGTACAATAAGTTAAACTCTTTGAAAGCAGGGTTGAGAATTGTGGCCCATACTCAACTCAAGCTAACCAAGCTACTTAACTGATTGAAGTTCTAAGGAGTTTCCTTGCACAGAACTGTCAAGGTGACACATTATTATAAGACTCTACCTGACTGACACTGGTGTAGGAATACTTAATGGTTTCAAAGTACTGTATCTCATACATTGGCCCAAAAAGACTGACTTGACAATTGGAGAGAAAAAGAAGAATATTATGTGTTTGTCTACAAATTGAAGAGAGAGACAAATAGTGCAAGGATTTCAAGAGTACATTTCTAACTATAGTAAAAAGAAAGACATTCCATCGAAACTACTCCCACTCTACAGGACCATCAACAATATCAATTCAATATCAACAAACAAGTGTGAAAGTTTTTTTTTTTTTTACAAATGAACTTAATTGTAATACCTATAGGAGCTTTATTAATAGCAACCAGAGTATCATCATTGATGTTTACACATCTTGTCAAATCTCTCCTAGAAGTATTTAATCCAATAGATTAGCCAAAGCTCATCATGCTGCCATGAAAATGAAGATAGAATTTACTGTTGCAGTGTACACATCAAGAATGTGTAAGGAGTTTGAAAGTTGTTCAAATGTCTTTATTACAGGTGATATCTGTCTTTCTTTTTATAATCAAAGCATCTCATACTGATTATGAAAAAAGTGCACGTTAGGAGCATCACTTATTTACTTGTTTGTTATTTAAAGTAAAACACATTAGGCACTATCTGCTGTGTCCACCACGGGAAATCAAACCCCGTATATTAATGTTGTAAGTCCATAAATTTCCCACTGTCACATCAGGGGACAAGAAGCATCACAGAAAAAGTGAAATAAATAAAAGAAAATAAGTTCTGATTGTGTATCTTTGAGAAACTCATGCTCCACTCAAGCAGAGCCTTGTACTAGTGAATAGTTCCGATATCATTGAACAGTTTCTTGCAAAATTACAAAGTGTTTACTACAAGTTTTCTTGAGAAACGTTGAATTGTCTCATTTCTACTTTCTGAAAGTCCACAATATTTGTAATTTTTCATGATTTTTCCACAGTAAACTACCCATAATTCCAACAGCTATTGTGCCTAGTCCAATTACTATGATTTTCTTGGATTTGTTCTGGCTGGTTTGATGTTCGTCAGATTGCCCTTTAATAATATCTGCAGGGAGGTACTGCACATTATTCTGAATCTACAGGAAAAAAAATAACTTTCATAAGTACTAATCTATTCAAAAAATAAAATTGTAACAAGTTTCTTGATATAAAAATTTGAAAATCTTCAATTGTTTGACCAACATAAAATTTTCATTATTTACAGCTTATGCATTGTTATTCTGATATATAGAAAAGAATAAAATCTGGTTTTTATTCATTTCTGAAAGCTAGCCTTAAATTGAACATTCCAATAACTTTAAAGCCATTTGAAACTGTAAAAACAATAAAAAATATCCAGAGAAAAGAATGTAAAAATAAATTTTTCCTCAACATTTCACTGATAAACCCTAAAATACCAAGTTCCACCAAACCAATTTGTGTGTGTGTCTACATACATACCATACTTTCTTCATAAGTCTATTTTTAACATACACAATGTTTGGAGATCTGTTTACAAACTAAGGTTGAACCCCACCCCCAGGAGAAATATATCTAGTTGATTGACAACGTGGGGAAACTATTACAATAACAGGAACACTCTCTTAGTGACCATCCCAATGACCACCAATTAAAAAAAAGGTGCTTGGTTAATGGAAGTAGTTTTTCATTTATTTTAATTGTAAGATGTTCCCAATCTTGTAGTTCACTTTGTAATTCATACACATTATTACAATTTCATCACTGATGATATATCTTTTTCAGCATACAAAATAATTTTTTTTTCTGAAAGCTTTGGAATACAGGAGTACAAAGAGATGCTTCTGTGACAGGTTGTCTACACATATCGGAAATATTTTTACACTGTAGCCCTAGATAATTGAAAACAACTCATCTCTTGAACCATTCAACTAGTAAAATACATTTGTTGACCTACTTCTCAACAGTTTTTCTAATAACAAACATGAATTACCACAAATTAAAAATTACAAATATACCAATGTACTATTTTTTTGCAAGTAACTTGCCTTGTACAGATGCATTTTCAGGCAATTTATCTCTTCTTGAAGAGATTGGATATTTTTCATACTTTGATATGTTTCTTTAGTCAGCTGTTGAATATTGTTTATCTCCTACACAACGAAAAAAAAGTTTTTATATTCATATATTTCAGGAATATTATTGTCATAATTAGAACGTAATTAATTTTTATTAACAATATTTCATCTGTCTGCACTAATAACGCCCTTAGTCTTGGAAATTATGTAGCTACCCCCCATACCATGAACAGCACAGATAGCCCACTGTGTAGTTTTATAGCTAAAACAAACTTAAACTAAATCTAAATCTGATTAAAAATGATTCAATTACCTGCCGTTTCAAAACATACACACTACTTTGTTTGCACAACTTCCAGAAATTGGTTGAATAAAAAGTATTTGATTGTATGGGAAACAAAACAAATTTTTTCATATACAATAAATGAAGTTTTCAGATACAAAAAAACACTGTCAAAACAAGAGTACATAATATCTCAAATCTATAAAACATTCACACAAAATATCAACTCAGTGAGATGTTACATATTAATAAAAAAATCATACACTAAATGATAAGCCCATGATAACAGATTAATTTTTGTTGTTATTTTTGTAGTTCATTCTCAAGAAGTACTTCACAGTATCTTACCTGGCCTAATTCTAACAGCCGAGGCTGGTTCTGAATTTGTTTCCGTAGGTACAGCACTGTACTTTGTATATAACTAAGGTGTTGGGCAATATTAGCCATTAAAGCAACAGCATCTGGACAACTACAGAAACAGAACAATTAGAAAAAATTAGGCTTTGTCTTCTCATTCAACTTGAAGTGAAAAAAGTAGAAAATCTGTTTTTATTCTACATTTTTGGCTTGTTTAAAACATTAACTTTTTTTACCTCCTACACCTCAAATATATATATATATACATACATACCTTCTACTTTAGGAAAATTGAATCACATATTTTGTAAGCTCTATTCTACTTTGACCAGGAAGGCTTATTATTTTACACAGGGAAGTTAGAACATTCTTCACTTGACACATTGTTATATATATATATATATATTGTTTCACACAGGGAAGTTAGTACATTTTTCACTTGACACATTGTTATTGTTTTACACAGGGAAGTTAGTACATTCTCCACTTGACACACTGTTTTGTTTTACACAGGAAAGTTAATACATTCTTCACTTGACACGTTTTTATTGTTTTACACAGGGAAGTTTAAACATTCTCCACTTGACACACTGTTTTTGTTTTACACAGGGAAGTTAGAACATTCTCCACTTGACACACTGTTATTGTTTTACACAGGGAAGCTTGAACATTCTCCACTTGACACACTATTATTGTTTTACACAGGGAAGTTTAAACATTCTCCACTTGACACACTGTTTTTGTTTTACACAGGGAAGTTAGAACATTCTCCACTTGACACACTGTTATTGTTTTACACAGGGAAGCTTGAACATTCTCCACTTGACACACTGTTATTGTTTTACACAGGGAAGCTTGAACATTCTCCACTTGACACACTGTTATTGTTTTACACAGGGAAGCTTGAACATTCTCGACTTCAATATATCTATTTGCTTAACCTCAGACAGGTTGGAATATTTTTCATCTGATTTAATTATTCTTTACCCCAGAAAGTTTGGGGCATTTTTCACCTGATATTTTTATTCTATTTTTACCTCATACAGGTTGATATATTTTTCATCTGATACAATTACTATTTCTTATCAGAATAAAGTTGGAAGAGTTACCACTGGATATAACAATTCTGTTACAAAAACCATAAAACATACGAAACTTTCTCTACATGATATAATTATTTTATAGATTAAAAAAAAAAGATGGAATATTTTCAACCAATAGTTATTCTACTGTAACACAGGAGAGTTGAAACATTCTTCCCCTGATAAACGTGTTTTAAGTAAGGAAGACTTCAACATTTCTCACCTAATGTATTTCTTCTGCTTTAAGTCTGGGAGGCTGGACTTCTCCCATTTTTTCTCATGTACTTCATGGATAGCATCTAGAATTTTCTTCCGAACTCCAAATTTATCTACTCCTACCTGTTAAAAAAAAAAAAATATCCTTAGGAAATTCTGCACGTACACAAAACAAAATTTATCTTTTCACTAATGGTCCATTAAGTAGCAATACATCTACATACTTGTTTTCAGTTCTTGAAAACAAACTACATACTCATGCTAAACAAGCCAGCCAATTGTAGAAACTTGTTTGGAATGCAGTATGCATCAGAAACATAGAACATACTATAATAATGTGGCTAAGTAACCAACCAGACTTTAATAATGAATTCTAATACTAGAAAAATGCTCTTGAATTCTGTAAAATGCAGTTATTCAGCTTTAACACATTTAAAAAAAAACTAGAAGAAGAAAGATTAATAATAATATATTATGGGGTGGGGGTGGGGTATTGCTTGGCTAGAAAAATCTGAAAGATTCGTAGGCCCAAAAAAGTTATGAAAGACACTATCAGACATTTTTATTACAGCTGCTTTACTCAATCTTTAGATATACTCTAATGAAAAAAATAGCATCTTAGATGAATCTTTTATACCTATAGCAATCATTTTTAAATTTCTTTCTGCATTGGTGCTGCATTACATTCAAAATTTAATTAAACCATTTTACTATCAATGTATTTTAATGAAATTATTACTATCAAGTATGCTATAATTTAAAGTTTTATATTATCTATGTTTTATTCCTCTATTTTTAAAAGAAATACCTAAAACAGCAATTAAAACTACAGTTTTTTTGCTGTCACGTGGTCTGCTCAGGGTTACAATTTATACAAGCAAATGTGAGTAGCTAATATAGACTGTTACATTACACAGTCAAAGTCCACCATACAGATGTAGTTTATTACCATCTGGAAACATTTCAAGAATTTCTTCCCAACAGGAAACCACTGTAACTTCTTTCTAAGTTCGTGAAGTCGAAGCTATGTCACTGAGCAACAGTTTGAAGTTGAATGGTATGCTTATAACCAACAGAAAGAGCAGATTTCCCTCTATTTAGCTAACTTGGGGAAGAGACATTAGCACTGTATGGTTTTGTACGTATAACATAAAAATGAAGCTTAGTCCATTATCGAGTGCAGGGCCCCTAGTGTTTGGCTATACTTTCTCATCTTGTACATACTGGAATGACAGACTGTTAAAATGTGTTTAGGTTTTACTTTAATATTTTTGTTAATTATGTATTATTTATATTTTAGAATGCATATTTCGAAGAGTTTAATGATTTTTATAAGTTTAACTTGTTGTCACCTGGATTTTAAAAGCTTATAAACACAGCACGTGTATAAGCCCCACCTTTTTTTTTCAACGAGTTTGTGCATGGAGTCTGCCAAAATTACTTCATAAAGCTCCATGGGTATCAGTTTTGTATCGTCATAAATAGTAAAAGGCAAAGAATTTGAAATGAAAATTAAAAACAGACTATAAGTTAAAAGATAAAGACATAAAAATACATATATAAGAAAAATATGACTATTCTAGTAGATTTCTACAAAGAATTGAAAGGTATGTACATATTTCCATTTGTTAATTTTAAACATTTCATTGCACTGTATGTTGATGATAATAGATAGAGTTAGTGATATGGTAGAGAAAATGGAAAATAAAATATAAACATTTACCTTAAAAATTTTCATTTATGAGGTTCTAGAGATTATGCAAATGGAATGTGATAACTGTAAGTTAAAAATTCTTATTTTTATACTTCATATAATAATCATTTTCCACATGAACTATTCAGAGTGCAAATAACTACATTAAATAACAATTTTTTTATTATAAATAGCATAAAAAATCAAAATTAAACATTTTATTTTTCTGAAACTACATACTTTTAGGAATGTACTTATCAAATTTCAAACAATTTCACCAACTAGTTTCATTTTTGGAATGAAATACAACAATAGGGACAATGCATGCTACAAATCATAGCATGCCCTTGGCAAAGGACTATATCGCATGTCTCCATAAAGGAGAATTGCTGGTCAGTATGAGAACATACCTTGGATCTAAGTAATAGGCTCACTAAAATAATTGTGAGAAAAAAACATGTATTCAGTCTGATGTGATGTTCTCAAACACAAACTTTATTTATAATACTTCATTATCTTTAAGAATTTGTTCTGAGAACCAACATAAGATAAAACAAGCTTAGTAAAACCTCAGCATGTAGAAAGTACATAAAAGTGAAGTTGATCAGCTGTGATCAAGATCCTGAAATGAACTGTCTTTCTAGTGCAAAACATAAAACATTGTATACTCTTACTTTTTCTCACAATATGTACCTATTTATCATTCAATAGCTTCAAATAATATTTCTCATCACTTTAATTGCTTTCAAACATTTAATCACCAATTTTAAATTTTAATTTTTTAAGTTTTCTACCAATGTTTTGTTTTACATTGGAAAAATCTGGCAAATACACTAAATAATTCTCTTTTTATGTGCAAATACAATGATGAAAAGGTTAAAATGTTTAATGTTTTCACCATTTCATATGATTCAAACCAATATAAAGCTATTTAACATGCATATAAAACAAATGTATATCATAGTAAAAATGATAATGTACCTAATCATAACAAAAAATAACATTCTGAAGTTGAAACATTTCAAATAAATATTTGAAAATTTAATACTAGTTTGTTCATAATGGACAAAAATAAAAAATTAGGAGTGATGGTATTTTAAAAACCCATTTCAACAGTTCTTTGTTAAGCATTTTCAACAAAAAAGATAATGTATGAAACAAATCTCTGTTCTTCACAATAATGAATACTGTTATAATCAAATACACTGTTTATTCAAACTTCCTCTATATTAGCATTTGCAGATATACTGTTACTTGAGTCTTTGACAAAGCCTTCATGAACAAAATATTGGATATATTAAAATGGTTCAGGAGTTTTGGGTAATTTTTTTTATTCTTATCATTGTAATTAACCCTACATGCATGTATGGGGTTCAGAGTGCACATGCCACAACCTTTTATGTGTAGCAAATCTGGAATTACAGAGAATGTTCTTTCTCCAATACATTCGATTAAATCAATTGTTCCTCACCTTCTCGAGGTCATGTTCAGTCATCAACAAAAGATCATGAAAGTTGATCTGGTGATCATGAAAAACTGGAATAAGGGCAGAGAGCTCCAAGCTGCTTAGAAACATTTCAAGGTCTCCAAATCTCATGTATTTACTGGAAACAAAAATCTCATTAAAAACACTGCGATATTTTAATATTTTAAATGAAATCAAACACTGAAATAAAACATTTCAGAATATGTGTGTTTGTCATAAGCAAATAAATTTCTTAAAAGTATTCAAGGTCTTTATTTATTGTATATTAATGACAAACAGAAAAGATTGAAGAAACAACTTAAGCTTATAAAATTTTACTCAAATGAAAATCAGTGACTTCTTCAACATCAATCTACATACTACAAAGAATATATTTCCACATTAATTGAGCAATAATTCAATATATCCTATTATACTTGGTACAAAAATAAAGAAGACCAAAATAGTTAATAGTATAACATTACTTGCTGGATTAATCTGAAGAATATCAGATATGATTACAACCTAAGTTTAAATTGCTACTTTATACTTCATAAGGCTTTATTCCACATTTCCTGAAAGGCTCAAAAACGAGAGCTGTGTATTTTAACCCTATCACCCCAGGTATCCTTTACTGCACATGACACAAGGTTTTAGTCTCTTACATTCAAAATTTTATTATACTACTTTTTGTTTATGTTATACCAATTAGAATAGCATAAAATCTTAGCTAATAATCAATAGTTTAATAGTATACAAGTTTTAAGTTCTTAATTCTACAAGGTAATATAAAAAAAAAACCTGAATTTCCACTAGTGTGACCCACGTGACACATTTTGTTTTAGCATGTCATCATCCCTATTTTATCCATCACCTCTCGAGAATGTACGAAATTAAACGTAAATTACTCTCTATAAAATCATTATTGCTCAAACAAACCATAATTTTTATAGTCTTCAATTTTGTTTGGTTATAGAGCTATCGATTAGAAAATCAGACCCCTCCTGCCACATCCTCTCTTTCACAATTTGTTGATAGTTCTCTCTTATGTTTCATTATATATTACCTATAACCAAAGTCAAGGTTTTCATCCATCAAATGACATATTGTATAACATTGTCTTCTGAACAGGAAAGCATCAATTTCACTCACAGTACAAGCTTTGTTCCCATGAGAAAGTCAATGATTAGCTTGGATGAATTTGTAATGGCTCTTGTCACATAGTTAGAAAGCCAGAAAAATTTTTAGAGGTAAGGGAATTTGTCTACTTTTTGCATGTTATTACTTTATATTTAAATAAAAATTATTAAATGCATTACTATCAGTACTATAAAAAGTTAGGGTTAACTCTCTTCGAAACCCGATGGCAAGAAAAAGAAGATTAGTTAAGTATTTTATTTCTTGTATTTCATATTTAATTATTATAAAAGTAACTCAAATCTAAAAATATGGATTTTTTTAAAGTTATTTAAGACCAGAGTAGGTAAAATAAGTAATAATAATAATGTAATTAAAATGGTTCATGCAGTACATACACGCGAGCAGCTTGTGGGTAATGTAATACAATAGTTCTCTGAGTAATTTACAACTTTTTATGGTTTGGAAAGTAGTTAGACACGTTTCAAAGAGCAATAAAATTTAATTATAAATACATGTATAATGTTACGGACTTAGAGCTACTTAGGATAAACTAATGTAGTTTCATGTTACAATTTGAAGAAAAATTGAAAGAAAAAAGGTTCATTTAAGTTTATTTCAATTTTTGTTGATGGTTATGAGGTTGGTCGAATTGACCAATCCATTTTGAGATAGGGTAGAGAAAATAACAGATAAACTATAAATTTTACTGAAAAAAACGTTTGAAATGCATTTAAGAGATTTTAGGGATTACACAAAGGACATCTGAAATTTTTGAGATGAGGAAAAGTATTTTAATTTTAACATGAAAATTACTTTGCACACAGACTATTCAAAACAAATACTCAATATATTCATGGAGAAATCCTTACTTTATTTTATTAAAAATATTTCTCTAAGAAATATAACTTTTTGTATGTGAAAGACTTGTAATATTAACTGAAAGATTGCCAAATTTCGTGAACATACACCCACTACATTGAGAGTTATAAGTATTAAATCTATAAAGACTTTAAACGAGTACAAAAAGGTCACATGGTCAGTCAAATTGACCAAGCCCGTATTGAGAGTGTTAAACCCTTAAATAATACCAAAAAACTTTTTCCCACACAATTCTAAACACATATATACTGTATATACTTGAAATGTGCTGTCCATCTGCTGCCTGGCTTCATGTCTCATAAAATACCATGTCATTCTCCCAAATACTGAATTCAAATACAGTTAACACTTACTGTCTTTAAAGGATATAAAATAGTAAATAGTGTAATAAGCTTCAGCATCAAATTAACAACCTATCTTGTTTTTCACTGGAACTTGAAGTTGTGGTTAAAAGGGGATTTGATTGGCCTTCCACTTCCTCTAGTTTCTGCTTGTCAGAATCACTTAACTCTCTCTGGGTCTTCATTGATAAATTTTCCAGGATTTCCCCAATCTTGCAAACAAAACGTATATAAAAGTCAAATATTACAATGAATCATAACATATTTGTACATTTCTTTACTAAACTAAGTATCCTATGAATGAAGTTTTCTAAGCATTTTTTTTTATCTAAACATGTTATATAAAAATTTTTTATAGGTCATATTGAAAACCTCATACATGGAAACATCACATAGATGACATATTTTTCATTTGGACAGCTAGTTTTGAACACTTAAAGAATATCTCATATTCAAACACCTTTCACAAAACATTCATGTTTACCTTTAATTACTCTCCTACTCAAGTTATAATTTTTCTATACTGAAAATATATTTCCGATAGGTATTTACCTCCTTTCACATAAATAGCTATTCTTGTTCAGTGCTGCCCTGTATAAGCAAAAAAAAATTTTCGCATGCCACAAGTCTTGAGCTCCCACATACCTAACAATCAACTGGTTTAAGTGTGTCTCCCATATAAATTATAATGTGACAACCTCCAACAATAAGAGTGCAACACACTCTCCTGATGCATGTGACTCAACTCAATTCTACCACACTATCACTTCGAGTTTTGTAAGAAAATGGAAGCACTAATTTTAAGTGGGGAGGAGGGGGTGGGATGTGAGAGTAAGTACCTATTGGAAATATATTTTCAATATAGGAAAATTATAATTTCTGATACAGTACATTACCTCCTCTCACATAAATAGCTAGAATCCCACATTGAATAGGCATAGGGTCTGGTGCAAGGGAAAACAAAAAAGCATTCCTCAAAAGCATCCAAAGAACACTCTAAAAGAGTAGATCTCACATTAGAGGATCATACATGGAAGACCACACCACATCTGTACCAGGTATACTCTTCACCCAGTGTGGAATGAGGTGTCAGGGAACTGGGCATTAAAAAAGGGAGGAGCACATCCCTACAGGAGAGAACAATGGTGGGATAGGGATCTGAACCACTATATAACAAATCTCAATCCCATACAGTACTGGAATGTGGGTGAAAGTAAAAGGAGGTGCCCCTAAGTGTAGAGTGGCTAGGGCACGATGGACCTTACATGGCAAGTCAACTGCATCCAAAACCCAAGCCACAAGGATCATACCATCGGTAAGTTGACCACAATCCAAAACCCAGCCATCAGGAACTGACATCCATGTGGGGGTAGGAAAGAAGATCATACCACCAGCAAGTCCACTACAATCCAAAACCCAGCTACCGGATACCAACATCCATATAAAGGTAGGAAAAAGAATCATACTGTCTTCACCTCAAGTTCAGCAGACTGGAGGGAATCTCAAACCCCCCGATCTATGAACAGGACACATGACAGCAATGTGAGAAATTGTTTGACCAACTGAACAGCACTACAAAAATGTCTTGACACAAGTACTGCCAAACGATAAGTGATAGTTTGGTAGAATCAAATAGAGTGAGTCACATGCATCAGGAGAATGTTTTGCACTCTTACTGGTGGAGGGTTGTCAGATTATGATTTACATGCAAGACACATTGGAACCAATTGATTGTAAGGTATGGGGGAGCTCAAGGCTTTTGGCATGCGAAAAATAAATTTGCTTATAGAGGGCAGCACTGAACGAAAATAGCTATTTAATTGAGTGGAGATAATGTACCATATCGGAAATTAATTTTCTTGATGTCACTGTCTTTTTAAGTTATGGAATTTTACACATTGACTTGAACAAAAAACCTACAGACAGACTACAGTACCTTCACTATAAAAGCTGTCACCCTACTCACACTAAACAGAACATTACCTACAGTCAAGCTCTTAGAATAAAGAAAATCTGTTCAGATGAAACAGATTACAGAAAACACACCAAGGATATAAAACAAACCATGTTACAAAGAGGATATAAAGAAACGGAAATTGACAGACAGACAGACAGATTGCAAAAGCTAACAACATTCATCAGAAAAACATTCTAAGGTTTTAAATAGAATTCCTCTTGTCATTACCTATCACTTCAAACTCAGAAACATTTTGTACATTGTGAAAAAACTGAATGATTGCCTTGCACAGATATTTCCTGAAGTACCTGTTGTCTTCTTCTCAGTGTTGTAGGTCTTGAGACCATTCTTTGGAAGGTCTCAGATCTTCACCCTCCTCAATGTTTTACAGGTTTTGAAAATGAGACCGGCTAAATCTAAAAATTTTAACAGTATTACACCAGTCACCTACTCAGGATTATTAAATGCTAATTATCTATTATGCAGCAGTTCAGATGTTTTACTAGTAAAACCCTCCTTTGTACTATACAGTTGTAATGATGTTTATAATGCCTCCCTTATTGTTGTTTAGGTCACCAACTGACATATTGCCTGTATTGCTACCACATATTGCATTACACATAGGCTTACTACAAGTTTCTATGAACTTCATCTGGTACATGTATTTATGTCAAGCATTAGCTATTATCCCTGATATTCAATGTGTTTAGTAGATCATCTGTGATCCTGTTTGGCTTCAAAGATCATAAAGAATTCACTGACACCAATACTGGTTTTAGTTTTATTTGCTGACCTTTTTGTTGTTTTTTTTCCATTCATCATTTTTTTCATAGGAGGATTATTTGTTTGTTTGTTTTTGAATTTCATCTTCATGGCTAATTATTTATTGGCCAGAACATTGTGGTGTGTCATCTTCATGGCTAATTATTTATTGGACAAAACATTGTGTCGTCATTCCTTGAAAGTTTATAATATTTAAATAACTTTGTTTGTTTGAATTACGTGCAAAGCTATACGAGGGCTATCTGCGCTAGCCGTCCCTACTTTAGCAGTGTAAGACTAGAGGGAAGACAGCTAGTCATCACCACCCACCGCTAACTCTTGGGCTACTCTTTTTACTAACGAATAGTGGGGTTGACCGTCACATTATAACGCCACAACAGCTGAAAAAGCGAGCATATTTGGTGGGACAGGGATTCGAACCCGCGACCCGCAGGTTTGTAATCGAGCTTCCTAACCACCTGGCCATGCCGGACCGTCTTAAATAACTATTATTGCTTTGGACATGAACTAAAACGTTCAAATGTACTTGAAAACAAATCATGTAAAGTAATTAGGAGATATTTTATGGACATGTTAAATAATTAAAATAGGCCCGGCATGGCCAGGTGGTTAGAGCGCTCGAATCGCAATATGAGGGTCGCGGGTTCGAATCCCCGTCACACCAAACATGCTCGCCCTTTCAGCCGTGGAGGCGTTATAGTGTGAGGGTCAATCCCACTATTCGTTGGTAAAAGAGTAGCCCAAGAGTTGGCGGTGGGTGGTGATGACTAGCTGCCTTCCCTCTAGTCTTACACTGCTAAATTAGGGACGGCTAGTGCAGATAGCCTTCGTGTAGCTTTGCACTTTATGGCTAATTATTTATTGGCCAGAACATTGTGGTGTGTCATCTTCATGGCTAATTATTTATTGGCCAGAACATCGTGGTGTGTCATCTTCATGGCTCATTATTTATTGGCCAGAACATCGTGGTGTGTCTTTATTGGCCAGAACATCGTGGTGTGTCATCATTGCCCTAATACTAATTAGAAAATTAGATGTGGAGTGATATTGCCCTAATACTTATTAGGAAGTAAGGTGTGGAGTAATATTGCTCTAATACTCACAATCACTGACCAGAAATACGGGTTTAGTTTCTGGTCATGAAAGATTGAACAAGGTGCAATGACCTAAACAAAGGGAGCGGGTCGGCGTTAGTCTGGAAAATAGCTAGTAAGACAGGAGGAGTTCAACGAAATAGAGGAAGGGAAGAAGAAATCTGATGTGTGAGACAAATCAATAAACTGAGATAGGCGAATGAAGAAACTAAACATCTATTTCTTAATCTATGTGTTATTGATCACCAGTATTTGAACAGCAGTTTGTTGTATTTAGATTGTAATAGCTATCCCCAAAGTGTGTGTGTGTGGGGGGGGGGGGCGTAACCGAAAACAACCCCCGTTGGGACACCCACCTGAGTACGTGTGCCACATTTGGTCTCATTAGCTTTTGAATGAAATAATAATGGCTGGAGACGGCTTGAATGGGTAATGAAGAAAAACTTTAATATACGTTTAACATAACAGCAAATGTACAACGTTTCGACAAGGTTTTTCATCCTCAAGTACGAATATAGTTTCAAACATGCGCCCCCCCCCCTCAGAATCCCGAGGTAGGCCAGGAATACAAAATTTGATAATAGATTCAGGTTCAGCGATCCGCAAAAACCTACTCTTAAACCCTATCATCCCTGGGTGACCTTCCGGCCTGGCTTGTCTGCCATTGATATTCACTTGGTAGGAGAACTACGCAAAATACAAAAAGGATACCTCCGGCCACATCATCTCCGCTTGCCAAGTTTGGTTCTGTTAGCCACAAAACGATGTTATATAACAGTAATCTCCCACGGACACTGTTGTTTCACTAATAACGTAATGAGCCTAAATAAGGATTTCTTTCAGCAGTTGAAGTGACTGACTGCAAAATACATGTATATCATCTGTATTTAATAAGTCTATCTGACGAACAAAGCGGAATAAACAAGGCAGCTGTTGTTTCAGTTTTAATATACGATCATATTAAAAAACAAGAGGGACTCATCAATAGCCGCGACACTTGAAATTATTATAGGAAGGATTAGACCAAATTAATCTTCGAGACATTGTTTTTTACCCTTTTTAGTAGCTATATTTTTATGCACCAGCAATACCAAAGGTGGGGCTCGCGTATACCCGATGATTTTATTACTCATCAGGATCTGTACTCTTTCAGGCGGGATTAGAAAAAAATAATCTACCAGATCGTGATACATCAATCGAAAGGGTTTGACCTCCTGAGTCCAAAACTGTAATTAGATCTCAAATCGGTCAAGAAATGACGGAGATATGAGCTAAAAGTTTGTAATTGATAAAAAAAAAACAACTTTGACCCATTCTATGAGCCGCTATACCGCTGCTAAAAATAAAACAAAAGACACGGTAACCTGATGACTATTGTTCTTGTCTCGAGTTATGGTTATCGAACTAGGTAATCAGTATAGCTTTGAAACACCAACAGTTGGATTAGTTTCTGTTGCTTATGCGTGGCTAATTATTCATTGGACAGAACATCGTGGTGTGTCATCTTTATGGCTAATTATTTATTGGACAGAACATCGTGGTGTGTCATCTTCATGGCTAATTATTTATTGGCCAGAACATCGTGGTGTGTCATCTTCATGGCTAATTAAATTACTCCGCACGTTACTTCTAATAAGTATTAGGGCTATATTACTCCACATCTTACTTCCTAATAAGTATTAGGGCAATATCACTCCACATCTAATTTTCTAATTAGTATTAGGGCAATGTTACTCCAAACCATACTTCGTAATAAGTATTAGGGCAATATTACTCCGCACCTTACTTCTAATAAGTATTAGGGCTATATTACTCCACATCTTACTTCC